CGTTATGTTGCAGGTCGCCGGTTACGAGGGAATGATCTGCGGCGCCATTGCCTTTTACTGTGGCATCGCAATGACGTTGAATGATGCCCACAAAAGAACACTGCTGCCTTTGTTCCCTCCATGTATTAGGAGGGTTAAGAGTTAACGTGACCGGAGGAGGAGAAGAGAGGCGGGGAAGAGAAAAAAAATAGGGAGAAATGAGGGTTTTCCCACCACTCCGCTCACGTGGAGGGGTGACGAGGAAGACAAAGGAGTGCTATAGATACATTAAGTCCGCAGTAATAAAAAATGAAGAAAACAAATAATAATTGAAAATAAACAAACGATTTACAAAATCCTGCACCGTTGATTACAATCAAACAGCAGGAAATAAAAATTTAATCTTTCCTACTCTCAACAATGAAAAACCCAGCCGAAGAAAAAAAAAAAAAAAAAAAAACGTGTAAAAAGAAACTTTACCCACAGTAACTTTGAGGGAGAAGAAAAATCCATTAATTTGAGACATAATTGAAGGAAATTGAAGAAAACAAGTACACTCTATATGAAAAAAAGACATGAAAAAAAAATTTTTTTTTTTCTATTTGTTTATGTAAGTATAAATGTATATGTATATATATATATATAAAGTGGTGAACGCCACGATAAGAGCTAATGAATGGAAAAAACATTGATTTTATTTATTTTATTTTCATATCTTGTTTGAATGGTTTTACGCGTGAGTGCGCTGGAAGGTGGTGAGAGCGGTTTCCCTTTCTTCTCTGCCGTTCTGCCCCCTGCTACACCAGCTCTCTACAAGGGGGAGCATGTGGTTGTCGCGGCGTTGTCTCGGAGCCAAATTTCTTACTGTTGCATGAGCGTTGGACAGATCTTCTCTGAGGTGTGAGGATGCCGGGTGCCCTGAGCCGAACCGTTTTTCTTTTCTTGCGGCTATTTTCTTTTTGGAAAGTAGGGTTTTATTCATTTGCGTATTCCGCATGATTTCTCATATTTTTGCGCTTTTTGGTATTGCGTGAAGAGATGTCTCATCATCGAAGGAAAACGAGGGATTGAAGGAGGCGTCGGGGCAGAAACGAAAGTAATGAGAGGGGAATTGTTGTTTTTATTTGAGGAAAATAAAGGTGGAACATGGAAAAAAGGATTAATATTAATGTTCACTCACACATGTTTCTGATTTTTTGGGTGGAGGGAAGGCGGTATACATCCGCGAACATAAAATTTTGTTGTGCTGCTTGCGGGGATGTGGGGATTGGGCCTTGCCGCCTCTTCTGTACCGCCGGTCGTCATAAATAATTTTCTTTACCCCTTCAGGAGAAGACTGTGGAGCTGGAAAGATCCGTCGACAAGACATGTTGGAGGTGATGTAGGGGCCACCCTTCTGTGTGTTTCTCTGTTTTTCTTCCCTGAATTGGGGCTTGCTCACCGTGACTCCTCCGTAACTCCCTCTTTGTTGCTCGCAGAAACACACAAGCAGCACCTTCATTAAAGAGATTGTTGAAAAGCTGAACCGGTTAGAAGACTTGCACACACACGGGGAGACCCGTATCCACTCTGACGTACATACAATGAGCAACTCCAATTTTGATGAACTCCAGGGGGAGCAGTTTGATGGCCGACACTCCAACTCGAGGAAGAATAATGACCCCCTCGCAAATCGGTTGCTTGCTGCTCTCACCGCGGATGAGGAAAAATCGGAGTTGATGCTGACTGTCCTTCAAAATATTTTGAATTCCAATGATCTGGCACTTGTCAAAAAGGTCGCATTGCCCAAGAAGCGTGTGAATCTCTCCCCGCTGGGGATGCTTGGATTTGGCATTTCAACCATTCTTCTTCAATCCCGTAATGCCGGAATATTTGAGCTGGGCTCTGTGATTCCTGCGATGGGTCTGGTCATGGGTGGCGGGATGCAGCTCTTCGTTGGACTTTTGGAATATATTGATGGAAATGCGTTTTCTGCGATATCTTTCCTAAGTTATGGCGCCTTTTGGCTTTCACTTGTGGGTACATGGCTTTTGCCACACACCGAAGAGAACGCGCTTGTGGTGAAAACAGAAGGGTCGTTGATGGGCTTATATTCTTTATTATGGGGTTTCCACACCGTATGTATGGGTTTTGTTGCCTTTTTGAGGTCGCATCGCGTGATGCAGTTCCTTTTTACCTCGATGGCGTTCCTGTTCTTTCTTCTTGCCGTCGGTGACTTTTCTGGGAAGAAGGAGGTGACGCAGGCGGCTGGCTATGTGGGGATTGCTTGTGGATCTAGTGGACTTTACATTGCTTTTGCGGAGGCCCTTGAGGAGAGTCTTGGGTATCCTGTTCTCCCCCTCTTTCATGTAAAGCGAAATTAAATGTTTGCCCAGTGAAAATAGTGTTTATGGCAGCGGAGCGGCGATATGCAACAGCAACAACAACAAAAAAAAAAAGAAATAAGGAATGAAATTGAGAATGCCCACGGGAAGAGGTGGAACTGTTCCGAATAAATGGGGATATAGGCGTTACTTATGTAGTTTCGTAAGGATTTTTGCTTTGGAAAGGGCACAAAAAGGGAAAATGGGACTTTGAATGGTTTTGGTACTTACATACTTTTTACCAGTGAAAGGGGTCATTTTTTTGTGGTGTACAGCGCAAACTCACAGGTTTTGGACTGCCCCACTCATGCGTATTCCCATCCATGAGCGCGTGCACACCTTTCTTTTTTTTTTTTTTCTTTTTGCTTTTTGGCTGATTGAGGAAGGAATGGGGATTTTATAGATTTCTCTTTCTGAGTGCTTGCTCTGCTCGTTGCCCGTCTGGGCGGCAGTTGTTTGTGTGATATCCCTGACCCTTCATTGCGGGTTGGAATTGCCCGGGTGTGGGAGCCTGCCATTTCTGAAAAGACATAATTGCGGCCTTGATGACGGGTCTCGTAGGCGCCTGCAGCCTCTAATTACCGGCGAGCCCTGTAGACAAGAAATTGAGAGTTGGGTATCGCGACCATATGGGAGGCAAACAGCTGCGAAAGGCCGTCAGTTCCAGTTGGACGACAAGAGAGCCAGATTTGTGGTAGCCAAACGATTGTTAATGTGTTGCTGCTGGCGGCATCGGGCCATTTGTTTTGGGAATAGAAGGCGCCCTCTTGCGGTTGCACACGGCGAGACGCGAGGCGGAAGTTACCGCACAAAGTCGACTTGATTGCCTTCCATGAGCATGAAGCACCTGCGGTTTCTCACCCATCCACAGCTTTGTTTTGTGGCAGAGCCATGTGAAGTCTTCGCCTGTCATGGCTGGCCCCAAATAAACAAAGAGCGGGACAAATATGGCCCGAAACGAGGGGAAAAAGGCGGAATGTATGAATTGTTGAGGTTCGACGCATTTTGGGGGGTGCCGGCTGCTCTCGCTGTTGATTCATCCACCGCTTTACTGCTCTGCGTTTCTTTTTCATTTATTCCATTATTCACCATTGTTACTTGCTGTCTCTTGCATTGTTTTTGCCATTGTACTGCCTTTTCCCTTTTTGTGTGTATGTTTGCATTTCATTATTATTCTCCGACTCAAGGGCAGTACGGTAATTCAGGACTCCCGCACACGCCACTGTGCACGTCGTGGTGGGTAAGAAATACTCTGACAGCCTCCAAAAAAAACGCACACACAATCACACAGACAGTGCCCTGCAGGAAACTCTTGGCGGTTGGACGACGGTGACTGTGCGTCCCGTGGCCTCCATGCAGACATGGTGAGGACGCTGCGTGCCCGCCGGTGGTGGGAATCACGGTGCCGTCTGACGGATGCGTGTGGGACATTTTTTGCATTGTGTCGGAGGACGGCTGACGCGGCGCGCACGACGCCTGCCATGCGTGAGGGTGTTGCCTGCTCATGGGGTCATTTTCCTCTCCCCTGTGTCGTTGACTTGCTGGGTGCGGGCGTCGCACGGCGTGCTGGTACGCGACGGACGTTGCCACATTGGTCTCCTCCGGCGGTGTCGGTCCCTGCTATCAGCACACACCCACACACCTTTTCTTGCCCCTCTGTGGAAGTGGTTGCAGCGATGGCGTGGCCTACTGCAGCTGCTGTTAGTGTTATTATTTTCAAAAAGGGTCGGAGTGGGGAGCTTCTCTCTTTGCACTTGAAGAAAGACAGCGGAATGCTGTCACACAATTTTATCCGTGTGTGACTTGCTGAGATTGATTTGCTAAGGTATTTTTAATGGTTTGGAGGGAATTGGGGCAAACGTGTCTTGGAGCTGCTGTTTTTTAACTGCCGAAGTCGCTGATTTGTGCCGGAATGCCTGCAGCAGTCCTTTGCTCACGGCTTGTGTTGTTCGATACTGGTCCGTTATCGTATCCCACGGACAATGGGCGAAAGGGTGTTTTGGGAGGTGAATGCCACAGTTAATGGTGCAGCCGAGAGGATTGCCGATGTCGTAACGTTCCAATGACCTGAAGCAGGGGCTGAGCGGCTTGTCGGCAAACACTGGCCGGATCAGCTCTGCGACGCTGCAAACAACAGCTTCAATGTACTGGCGACGGTGACTATTCACTGGGGTTCTGGGGAAGCGACTGTAACTTTTTATTGTTCCACACCCGAAGAACGATGATGAAGAGATAGGGCTCTTTTTACTCTATTGGGATGTTGACAATGGCAGGGGAGCAGAATTTACGTTAATATTGCGAGGATTTGCAGGGGGTGCGTGTGAGGGACGACCGAAATACGATTTATTGCTTCTTGCAATATCAACGCCCGCTCCTTTGTTTTATTTTTTGGTGTGTTTGTCTGTTAGCACACCCTTTTTCGGAGAATGTCACCTGAGTGGAGGAAATGACGTAGCCTGGGCCTCACTTTATTTTCCATTTTATGCCTTTTGTTTGGTAGAGCCCGCGGCTGAATTGGACAAGACGGAGATGCTGCTAACGCACAAAGGTGGGATGGTGCTGCGGCCGCCACGGTGTGAGATTACTTTTCTGTATTTTTGTCCTGCCATGTTCTTTGATGCTTCGTTCACCCCTCACTTATTTTTCCTGTTTTTTTTATTTGCAGACAAGGCCTTTGCCACCACGATTGTGGTAAATTAGCACAAACAAATTTATTTACGCCATGCACTGGCCACGCCACGCTGCTCCATGCATCTGTGCATTCGACGAGATGGGGCAGAGGAGAGGCAGGCCACCGGCTCCGGTGGTGCATTAGGTGTTTTGCGGCAATGGCGAGGTGAGGCTGGGGTAACTTTGCCGCGGAAGTTTTTTTTTCTTTTTATCCGTGGGTCAGCCCGTCACGCCTGGCTCGGTCTGGTTGAAGGAAGGCGGCAGTATCGTGAGTCCCAATCAAAAGAAGGTCTGCGCCATCACCACTAACGGCTGCAGTCTTGCTTCACCCATCCCCACAGAAGACGGCAATGATGGCAGCGTGGTGACTGTTTTTAAGAGGCATCTTATGCTGACCGTCCTTGCTGCCACTGCCGTGGTGGTGGTGTCCGTTTGAACTGTATTGATGGATTATGCACTGCCACAGAGATAGCCATTACGGTGTGTCTCATGTGGTTTGCATGTTTCGCCTCACGTTGCGGACGGACACTAATGGCAAAGCACACACATTGTTTTTTTTTTGTTTGTGAAAACTCACGGGAAGAATTATTAGCGTCCAGACGAGGATGAACAAATGCGGGAGCCGCTTGTGCATCTGTCTTGTTTTTTCACGTGTTGATTGAATGGTTTTATGCGTGAGTGCGCTGGAAGGTGGCGAGAGCGGTTTCCCTTTCTTCTCTGCCGTTCTGCCCCCTGCTACACCAGCTCTCTACAAGGGGGAGCATGTGGTTGTCGCGGCGTTGTCTCGGAGCCAAATTTCTTACTGTTGCATGAGTGTTGGACAGATCTTCTCTGAGGTGTGAGGATGCCGGGTGCCCTGAGCCGAACCGTTTTTCTTTTCTTGCGGCTATTTTCTTGCGGAGGTGGGGAGTAGGGCCCTATTCAGGCGCGTGTTTTTGTTGTGGTTTTGTTTGGGATTCAAAATAGTGGTGCGGTGGAGAGTTTCAGCCGGCACATTCTGAAATTATTCTTGCTTTGTGCAGCCAAGTGATATTTGCGGCGGGCAGTGTCCCCACTTTCTCTTTCACCGGGCGTGGTGCACCACACCCATTGATTTTGCGCAGCGCAGCTCTCCACTTTGTTTTCTGGTCGTCCTATTTGTTTCTAACAGAAGATAGCAAAACACACTCGCAATGATACCTGTTTCCGTGAAGAAACTGGAAGAGAGTGTCCATGTGAAACACCGCATCCGTAACGCCTTCAGTTTGTGGTGGTTGGGCATGATCAACAACTTCCATTACACACTAGTGCTTGCTGGCTCGGACGGCATTGCTGAAGGCTACGGCATGAAGAAGTACGTGGCGCTGATCACTTTTGCGAATGTGTTTCTTTGGGATCATATCAAATTTTTCTCACGCCTTTGTGATTCAGCGCCTGTCGTACAACATTCGCGTGACAGCGGCGTCTCTGATGACGACTG